AACAAAAACTTGTTGGATAGGAATGAATATTATACACAGAATTAGAAATGATAGTGAAGAAATAAATCTCCTTCTTCAGGATCTAACCAGGGAAGGCCCGGATCTCCGTGGAACTTGAAGCGATGTTTTGGGGTAAATCCATGCTGCCGAGAATGCTGGTAACAAATATATATGGGTCAAAATTGCAACGTGTACTTCCCAAGCAAATTGCAAGCGTTCAAAGTTGGCAGAAAATGCAGTGTCAGAGAGAGGCGACTCATCCATCTGCATCAGACTTCCAATTTTCTCTGGAACGTCGACTACGGGAGTAAATTAGTGTTGTGATTGTGAATATGACGCTCGTTTTTGACACAGCTCCAACCTGGCCACAGTTTGGTTGGTTTGGGTAAAGCATTGTTTTATGAAAGTTCCGGCTCTAAGCAATAAACAGTTTATGTTACAGATAAGAAACTGAATTGGTGATTGTATACCGACAATTTCGCGTTCTTGCTCTACCTTCACTCAAAAGTTTATCACGATGCAAAAAATATTAACAGCACATAAGAGAAGTTTATCACCGAGAAGAATATTCACAGTTCACAAGAAGATTCATGTTGACATGGAGAAGTTAGCTGGATTTACAAAAACCACACGTTTTTGGACACCACAGTTTCGTGCGATTGTAGGTGGGATTGTTGATCGCTTTCTCACAATAGTCCAAAATATTTAAACCATGAGCATAGTGGCTGTGATAAAACATCTGCGCAGCCGCAAAGTTCACAGCTCAGCGGACAATCCAATCTGATGTCATAGTAGACACATAACCATCCCTTTGAAATTCAGAACAAGAGGTGTTGTAATCTTTGCACTCCATCTGTAAATATTTAGGTTGTTTTTTCAAATCACAAAATCTTCCATGTATAGGAAATACTACGTGTTATTATAAAGAGCACTCAAGGTTGAGCTTCCTTTTTGAGACACGCCAGGCACTTCCACTACGGCATCTTTGGTCAGTAGCATTTGAGTTAGACTATGTAACATGAACAACGACCGGTGATACCAGTATTTTTTACACCGTAAACGTGACTTGCACCAGTTAACTACCACCGAAGGGATGAAAAGAATTGTTGGTCCGGACGAGATTCCGATGCGGCATTAGGCTCGGAGATGTGCACGCGAATCACCTCGAAATTTCGAACTTAGAACTGTACTCGCGTTGGCTGTGGCTGCATCAAATTCTTCTCTCTTCTATTTCTCAAGCATGAATGGAAGGGAACCGGGCCTTAGTTAGTGAACCTTCTTTTCTGAACACTTATCAAACTGCTGTTTGTTTTCTTACCCACTGTTTATCAAAGTTACAGTGAAGGGTTAAACGAGAAGAAATTAATAAGACACAAACTTTAGCGAGAATCAATGAACTCTGCAACACTGGGCGATTTTTTTTGGAATGCAGCGTCGCCCAAATCCTCCTATTATCCGTTAACATGGGTGTCGGTTTGTGGGAAGGGAGGTCCTGGCGATGAGCGGGGACCAATCTGGTTCACAAAAAAATAAACACACCTCGCCATTACGAAGAATATATGGTGGTGGATTAGGTGAATCTCTTATGCCAAAAGACTGTCGAATCTTGTTCATAAGCCGTTCTACTTCTTGCTCCGAGCTATTCTAAATGTGTGCAAATTTAATTCGAATGAGCTCTATAGCAAATATTTCGGAATGTAATATCACATACGAGAAGTGGTAGGTTGTTTCCTTGATTTGTGTTTGTAGGTGATCCTCCACTGCTTTCAAACTTTGCCATTGTTGTTACCAGGACCAGCAATCTAAAGAAATGGTTGAGAAAAAAGTTGAAGTTCTCGTGTGCAAAATAATATGAATTTACAGTTTTTTTTGCTTTTTCTATGCTTCCACACAAAAACTTCATTCCCAGCCCAGCAACGTTACAAGACAAATGACACAAAAGCGATCGGAACTTATATTGAGAAACCCGTCTTATCTCCATACGAAGAGCCGCTATCATTATTATTATTACTCAACTTCAGTGAAGTTAGAATTTCCTACGTAAATGATATGACTTTAGGTGTAGGAAGATCATGGTCAGCAAGTGTGTGCGCATGGTACAGCGGAGTAAGTCACACTTAGGACCAGATGAGTGGGTAGCAAGCAGGGATCAGCCAATCCTGTGCAATTTAGGGGGGGATCGTGTTAACACCTAAAGGAGGGTTGTAAGCGGTCAGTGGTGAAAAGCGTAGCGGTATCTTTAGCGTGAAAGTTGGAGAGCGGGATTAGCGCTGCAGAATTTCGAATATGTGATAAAAAAGATGTAATATCAAACGCACATGAAGGTTTTCGTTAGTCGTTGGTCATCGTCGCAAGAAAGAAGTAAAAAAGATTACTCTAAAGCCGTCAACCTGCATCAGCAAACCACTACATGTATGTATCCCCGTAATACTTTGCCAGTCGTAAGTGTGGCGTGGCGCATACAAGAACGTGATCAAGACTCCAAACACATTATCACTGATCTAATTTAATGAATGAAAATGAGTTTTTCAATTACTGTACTGCTGACCGTTTTCCGTCATTGAAGGAATCCTTCGCGGAAAATTCTTGCATTCTTTCTTGACATGAATGTGTCAGTTGTGATCACTGGAAACAGCACACAAAGTTTCACGCATGAAGATTCGGTTTCCGAAGAGAAACAAACGTACAAAAACTACACTCTATGGACAATCGAAGGTAATTCGGGCGGAGCCAAAGGCGAGGCATGGAAAGAAGTTGGCCTTTGGCCGGCTACGTATCAGGCGACGCAATGAAAGAATCGGGTTAAAGCGCGCGATTTCGGAGAGTAGAGACAAATCGATCGATAGAATAGGATGGAGTAGAAGTGTAAGATGTGAATGCAATAAGCAGAAGGCCAGAAAGAGTTTCTAGTGAAGGCACTCCAAGAACCAAGTGGAAGCATCCCCGTCGCCAGCATTTGTGAAAGACGTCCGTGGGCACTTTGAACGCGTAGCAGCCCTTTCGATTTTTCGAATTTTTTACCAAAACAAAAGCAATATTTCTGTTCTTTTCATTCTTATCGTGGATAATGAGTCTCAAGCCAGTGATTTATGGCTGAAATAGAATCATGATTTTTCCGTGAAGGATTCCTTTAGTAATTACTGCTTCAAACAACTCAGAGAGTTTTGATATAATGTGCTCAATACGCAGTGTTGCTATTTTTTTAGGGAAATGCTCATAGAGTTCAAAAGTTGCAATATAATGGCCGTCTTATAAGTTATCTTACGCCACCGAATTCCCGAGTTTTGCTTTTCAGTAACCAAGAAGGTGCCTCGGGAATTTTGAAGCTTTCCCTGTATAGCTGTTTCCTCTTCTTCTGAGCATGCGACACGCACACAAGAAGTCTGTAGGGAGCGACCGTACCATATTGTTTACTGCCTGCGATGAATCGTGATCAAAAAATAAATCTTATGATTTTCAAATTAACCGTTGATATCTTCTACACAAAACCCTTGTCTGCAGTTCTTTCTTCGATTGGACACATTGACAAACGTCAAATGGGATTACAGCCACCGCTAACTTACCGAAAGAGGGCTGGGCGTCCCAACAGTATACACGGCGTTGTCTCCGTTGCGTATCGCAAAGACGAAGATGACGAGAAGGCCAATGACATACATCATGATTGCTGAATGACTTGCATATCCGTTCTCTCGTTTATATTTGGTACGAACAGCGCATTTAGATGCGATTTTTCACGTATCAAAATCTATTTCACGAATTATTGTTATGGTCGTATTCGGACCCAAAATTACGATTATCACGGATGAAGTACATTCAATTAGCGCTGAGGAACACACCCCATGAGGTCATTCGCACCAGAAGTGATGAATGCGATTTCATTTGCATCACATTATTGACCGTTCACTGAGCTCGGACTACTGGATTCTCTTCTGAATCCATCTGGGTCGGGAAAAACCAGGCATCGCTTCGTCCTCACAGGATAGCGCTGGCCACATTCTGATCCTTCTTGGTACGAGCCCAAGCGACCGGAACCGACAGAATCGCTCAAAGTACTGGGCCAAGTGTTCTTCAGCTGTAACTTTTTCTGCTGGATCAATTTGTTGAAATCTTGGCAAATGCTGAGAGCAAGCCTTTTTTAATGAGCCAGAGTATTCGAATGAGGAATGGAGGAAAGAATGAAGAATGAAAAATTGGTTTTTTTTGGTATTTTAGAAGAAGGTTAACAAATCCCAAGTTATTGAAAAAGAACTGTTAATCCAATAAAACAACAAACACATATGCGCTTAAAAAATTTTCGACGGCCATTTTAGCTGTAACTTACAGATTTAGGTGTGAATCAGGCCATCACTGTTATTGCGATGCAACTTCCTCCACTGCTCTTCAAGCCTTCTTTCTCGCCCTTTGTGTATTTCTTGGTCCTGTTCTCACAATGTTTTTCTTACCTTCCTCGTAATGCCGCGCGGAAGCTAAGGCTGTGTCTGAATAGGTCCCTCAGTTAGCCCTTTGACTAGCACTTTTTTGATAATTATGTTACTGATGTGTTTAATGGTAGCTAGCGCCTATAGCCGCCACAACTAATGATTTGCGCCGGATTTGAGCTGAGATTTGATCCAGGGACCATATACGCGGTAACGGTCCTTCTTGTCACCACACCATCTTTGCTTAGATGAGCGGTCAAAGATATAATTAAGCAGCACGCATTTTCACGTTTCTTTCGTGGAGGAAACGAGGTACGCGTTTGGGCACTTCAGTACTGTTGGATACGCTTTCGAACCCAAAACTCTTTTCGCTATAACAAATTTACACACGATCTTACTAACAAGGAATCCTGAGTCATTTACAATGCTTGATGCTAACTTACGCACCTCGAGCTAACGGAATCGTGGGACTGGGAGCATTATCACTGTCGTATAACGCCTTGTCAACCTCTGTCTTCTTTCCGGCTGATAAAATGTTTCCTTCCGAATCTCTTTATTTGCTAATGTTGCTTTGATGCAATAATTTAAGGACATACTAAGCCCATCAGCCAAAAAAAGCAATAAGAGTTGGTAAACCTTTAACTTTTTTCTTGCCAGCTGGGCACACTGGCCAGTAACCTGCGGTATGACTTGCTTTATTGAGTTCTCCAGGGTAGTTTGCTGACAGATTATTAATTGGATAGTTTGTGTTTTTGAACAATTTCACCATGTAGTGGGCGCTCCTTTCTCAATAAGTCCCAAAACTGAGGTAGTGCCGTTGACTATGGAAGGGGCGCACATGTGTACCAGCAGTAGTCAATTGACTTATTAGGCACGCCATGCGGTCGGAACCACTCTTGCACAGTAGAGGTGCGATGCTTCTAATCGCCCTATTGCTAATTAAGAAAGAAAAACCATTATAAACAAAATAATTGATACGGTTCGTTTCGCTCCTTCCTCAGACGAACCTTATTATTTCGTCAATCCCCGGAGCTCATCAGTGAGTTGGGATTGGCGAAATAAAGACACAGGGGAAAGACGAATAAACCTTGATGTGACGTACTATCATGCAGAGGAGCATGCAATGAAATGAATTATATATTGACTAATTGAATGAAAATATAAGTTTACTGAACATGTAAAAATATAAAGTGTAAAAGGTGGGCGTTAGCACGTGTTCCACCAGCATTTAGGTAGAAATTTAGTGACGAAGTATCCTTCCACTAACTTACTAATATTTTTATAATTATTAGCAATTGAAAATTTGTAACATATAAACTTATTTTTATAAATGCACTTAACTATATTAGTTATAATAAAGTTTTCATGGTAACTATTCTTTCCTAGTAAACACTCTTATGAATTCTGTTAGTTTATCAGTAAATGGTGTCTAAATCGGAACAAGTGTTAGCTATTCTAAGTGTTTCAGTGTATATGACGGAGCCTTTATTGTTTTATGGAGATATTTGTGTCATTGTGTGGGAATCTGATGACCTTAACTGAAAATCATCTGTTTTGTTATACAATCTAGTTACAACTGTCATTTATTATACTAATTGTTAGATCCAGATAATTACTAGATGTTTCACTTAAATGTGTTTTCTTTCAATTCAAGTGTATTCATGTACACTTCTGCTAGATGTTGTCAATATTATCCTCGGTTTGGTTATGTATTACTAGCAAATCATCCATATATCTGAATGGAATGAATAACTTATTTTTATGTATTGTGTAATTGTAAGTTCAGCATATGCAAATACTACTTACAGGTATATTACTCTCGATAAAAACTCTTTTGAATGTACTTCTATTCGCTCTTTGACCACTTCTCGAATTCTGCGCCACAGTTCCACCTTTTTTGCAGATAACCATGAACAAGCTTCCCCTTGTTGCACGGATGACAGCTAATAATTCGGTTCGGAGCTTACTTCGCAAACTTGCCAAGTATCGTCACTTCAAAATTCTCAAATTAGAAGTAGCTTATGATGAGTTGGTCTGAGAGCCTTTCAACGTTGACGTGTTTTTCATACCCATTATATTGCCTAACGCAGACACTTTGTAGGGTTTGAGAAGTGGCGAATGCGAACGTCTAGGAATAGCCAATAAAGAAGGCTTTCTCTTTTAACATTTACAACATCAGGTTAACTCAGAAGATATCGGTCGCTTTTGTAGGTTTTCTGATTTTGTGGTTATTTTGTAGTTTCTGGGCAGCAGTGGTGTAGTGGCAAGTGGCACGCTTACCACGCGAGCGGTCCGGGATCAAATCCTGGGTCGCCCGGGCCAACCAAGCCTTCCATCCCTCCGGGGTCGGTTAATTGGTACCAGACTTGTCTGGGAGGATAAAAACTGACTTGTACATCGGCTGGCCCCCGCAAGTCATTGTATAGGCCACATCGCATTCAAATGCCACTACGAATGTTCAAATGGAAGTAGAATGAAGGTTGAAGGTTTTTCTTCTCTTTTCGGTTCTTCCTTTGAAGGTTCTGATGTCAATCGAAAGCCTGCAATCTTCCGAGCATTATTTTTCATAATTCATCTATATTGGTTCCACCATAAAGCTTACATTTGAACTAAAGGCAGCTCTTCAAAAATAGCTTCCCGGTCGATTGTTCTCGGTCGGCCGGCCCTTTACTTGTTAGTCAAAGATTAAACGCCGGATTTGTGCTCAGCAGTTGTTGGATCGAACTGTACATCCTCTGTCCCATGTTTCATTTTTATTCTCATGTGAGCTTCAAAGTCACAAAAATGCAAGTTTTGACTTGTTTTGTTTGTTAACTGCTGTTTTTGGCCGCAGTTCGCCTTGCGAATGTTTCACAAGAATGCTGGGTTGTGAACAAAACTTTCGCCCCAGGCGGGACTAGAACCCGCACCTCTCGCTTTCCGGGCAAGTGCGCTACCAGTTACGCTACCGGGGCACCATTTCATTCCAACTCAGCTTTTCATGGTATACGTACCATAGCTTTCAGCACTCACACGTATAACGTGTTGAGCCGGTTAGCCGATATCGGCAATGACCGCGAGGCTGAAAGCTTTAGCATTCAATTGCAAAGTGCAAGTGTTGTACACCAGAAAGCTCGAGAATGTCAACTATTGCTGCTGTCATTAAAATCATCAAACGTTCACTGACACACTGACACATCCAAAAAATCGAAAAGCCCGTGTTTCATTTTTTATTTTCATGTAAGTTCATAGTCAAACAAAAGTGCAAGTTTGTACAACTGAAAGCTCGCTAATGTCAGCCATTGCTGCTGTCATTAGAATCATCAAACATGACACTGACACACTGAAAAATGAAAGAAGCCATTAGCCAAAACAAACGGCGGGTGGAGCGGCTTTAGCCGCACATTGAATGAAATCCGATCTCAAGTGAATACTGAAGAGCACATTCGAGTCTATTGAACAACCATATTAACTTCTGCGCGGCTGTCGGCGGCTGGTGTGAGCAAGATCTTCGGAATCGTGGACCATTAACACATTGGCGACCGGGCGGATTCCGGAGTGTCTGCCACATGGGACCACGGAACCCCTGCCGTGAACACGAATATGACCCTGATCACGTACACGACAATTTGCAGCGCCAAATCGGCACCCAACAGCGCAAATTTGGCGGCGCAAATGTGCACCTTCAAAGGATTTACTGCCCCGGTAGACCACGAGGCGATCAAAACGACGATTTTGGACATGAAAACGAAGCGACGATGGAAACGCTAATCCGTGAATCAGAGAAGATGTTCTGCACGACCGATCTTCTTCGACGAAGATTGTAGACTTCATCGCGATGCTGCTGAGCAGATGTTGTCGAGGCTGCTGCAACCAACGCTTTCCGTCGGTAGTGTCCTTACGGAATTAGGTCGCATATAGGAAAGTGGGAGTTCGATGTAATATTTGTGAAGGCTTTTTTCGGCACTGAATGCTCTCGAGGGCATCACAACATCGTGCTAGCCTTAATTGTTTACTGCATCATACACTTATTGTTATTTTTAGAATGTAGCGAAACCACAGAAAGTGCAATACATAGTCAAATGAATAGTATTATCCTTACAGAAAGAGCTGCTCGAAAAAAACAAAAAAAATCCAAGCATTCGGTTATATTGGGTCGTTGCCCGACATCGGGTGCCATTGTCGCCATGTCGCCAATGTGTTAAAGGAAGCGATTACGAAAGGAATTTTCGCATCGGGGGAGAACCTGCGCCAC